AAAAGTTCTGGGCGTTTTCTAGGAAGAAATAGATGTAGCTTACTGAAACCAGCATTTCTGCACAACCGCTAAATACAAAAACAAACCAAGGTCGAGAAATGCATCAACTTTGTCTCGTAATGCGTCGTCAATCTGTTGTTCGACCTCCGAACGCGCATCCCTGAAAATTGTCACATGCAAGCCTTTCGCATTTTAAAGTTCGAAATTTCTAACAGTTAAACCCATTACAAACTATAAAAACTGGGCCGAGTTCAAGAAATGAAGAAACCGGAAAACTTGATCCTTCAGTGTAACCAAGTGCCCCGTAGTGCTGCCCGAGCCATTATTTCGATTGGTTAATTTGCTGATGTAATGTTCCAGCGAATCACACGACTTTTCCAGGTACCCGATATTGATTGTTATTTGCACAAGCTGAAAAACGGTGCTACAGCATCATGGGCTTATTAAAGAACAGCAACTGCAATTTAGTTCCACAAAAAAACTTTATTTTTTCCAAAAAAAATCCCCATGAAAGGAAACAAGCATTAGTTCTTTTTAAGTAATGTTTTCTCCAGCAGCTCATTTGATCGCAGTTGGAGCAAATTCCTCTATTTCCAGATGCGATAAATCACAGTTCGTTGAAAAATAGTTCAAATATCACTGCATTTAGATACAGTTTGAACTCAGAACACCTAAAGGCAGTCCGAAGGGAAAAGCAAACTGCCAAGTTGGAATTCCCACAGAGTGCGGCAGTCTAGTTGCTAACCTGTATTAATGTACGTTTTTTGTTGGCAACAAAGCTTTTCAGCGAACCCGACCAACGTGCAAGCAGTACATTTGCGTATCGGCGCACCGTGTCATCCACCTGAAAATAAGGAAAAACAATTCTAATCATTCAAAAGGCCCGATAAAATACTTCCCAGCCTAATTTTAGGTCAACAAGTCTGAACAGCTCCTACAAACTTCAACTTCGTAGTCATGTTCAATCAATCCTGAAGATGTTAGCACAATTTTGAATCTGACGTACACATATGATGGTACCGCAGAAGCCTTCCCAACATAAATCACAATATATTTGTTTAAAATTTTTAGAAATTTTATTTCAACTCAACTAGGAGCACCTGTCACACCTGTTCCTTCCTTGTTTTTTTTCCTTCTTCTCCACTTCCTTCCTCCACAAACCGTCTTTTCACTATTCATAAAGTACCTCATTTCTAATTACATCGATTTCATTTGAAGCCTACAGAACGTATTTCCCCAATAACTTATTTGTTAATTTTTCTGGAATAGTGAAAAGTGAATGTGCATTTTCAATAGCACTCCTATTGCTACAAATCTATTTGGTATTAGTTTGGTAGAGGAGATCGGGAAGCAACATAAATAAGCAAATGAATTTCACGGAAACTCCTGAAATTTACCTCAGTCGGTGAAAGCTGCAAATACTCCATAAATTTTAGACAGCCAACAAGATAATTCTTTGATTGCCCATACACAGCTGGCACAAATTTGGAAAATGGAAATACTCGCGGATAAGGCTCCTAAAAAAAGCACACATCAAATCATCAATGAACATGAGCCCAACTATTACTATTCAACGAGTCGCAGTCCCGTCACATTTCTAATTGTTTACTCTCATGCAAATCATATCTCTCGCTTCCATGGGAACTGACTGATAGCAGTCTGCCAGCAGCGACCACCGGCCAGAAAAAATGCCCACACTCTTTGCCAGAAGAAACAAGATGAGGTCCACCGAATGAATAAACTGTATAGCAGCTGCTTTTTAGTTCTTTTGATCCTAAGAGTAGGCCCTAAAACTTCAGCTTCCTGGCTTTTGTGGTTCCAGAGATAACAATTTTACCCACCAAAACTTCCACGGGGCCATACGCAGCACCAGCGGTTGCATGAAGGCTGAATTTAAATCTGGGGGTCGAACATGGGCAGGAAACATAAAAG